AATACTTTGTGCACATACTTCAATCTGTATGCAAACCCACAAATAAAGCCCATCAAAAGGGTCAGAATACTTTACAACCACTAGCTTTACTTCAGAAAATACCACTGAAAATTTATTTCAGATAAATACATAGTTATGTTCACATGCAGATATGAAGATAAAAAGGTTTTTAGGCATCCATTTATTTTGGGTTCCTTTCATCATATACATCTACTGCCTGAGATTTCAGGCCCTTTCAAATGCAACTGTAATTACAGGCTTTCAGATCTTGTTAATTCGTCCAAGTCACCCAAAATTAGAGGACACAGTTTTAGGTCTTGATCAGTGTATTGTGGTGGGGCTGTGGCACAGCAAAGATGACGCATGCTGCTCAACTTGGTCCAACATTATCTAACATTTAAACCAGTCCTTGCTTTCTGTGTTCATGTAACCATCTGGAATCTATGTTGGCAATGAGTACTGAGACTGCAAGACAGAAATATAGCTAAAACTGAAAACATTTCTACTACATAAACAGTCTATAAAGAAGAAATCCATTACATTACCAGTCTCCAAACGCAGACCTTGAAGAATATGCCAGCTAGTGGATGGTTAAGAATTTCAGCATATTGGGCCAGACTCCAAAACCCTCAAGCCAGTTGGTAATTAACAGACATCTAGGTCCTCCAGATGAAAGAGGGCTATTGTTTAAACAGTGACACAAATTTTTCCTTTCCTTTTCATAGCCAGTCTCTGCCTGTGTTTTAAGATTCCCTTAGGACCATAACAGTATATGATTTTAGAAGCTCATCCTCTCAAATAGACAATTTGTTTGACTTTTAGTTGCCAAACGTGCTTACATCACAGGTAGAACAAAATCATTTTACAGGCTTCTCAGAGATCCCAAATCTCGCCTTTCTTTAATAGCTGGAAAAAAATAATATCCAAATAACCTAATTAAAACCTAACATACCTACAAGAGCAACAGAATTACAAAACAGAGTAACAAAACATACTGAGGGCCTGTAAATAGTCTGTGATAAGTCCAACTACTAAGCAACGTACCTACAGGGAGTATTAGTCTGTGTTTTCATAAATAATGATGTGTTACAGCAAAGCTTCTAAGATAAACCAAAGGATGCTTCATTAAACAGATTTTTTAAAGAAGCAATGATCTGTATAAAATTGCCTGTTCTCTGATCTGTTACGTTACTCAGACTACATATAAACCATATTTGACCTAATCAATGTAGTAAAAGAGAACATTATGAGGTGTGGACACTTATCTATAAGGGAGCAAGTTAAATCACCAAGAAGGATAACAGGGAGGATGTGACAGAGAAGGAGCTGGTAAAAGTACTCAATTGATATGAAGATAACTTTAAGAAGAAAAGAGTCAATAAAACCAAGAGCCAATGCTGTCAGAAAAGGACAAAAAGCTAAATGAGAATTATAAAGCATTTTCCGAATACCCATGACTTTCCAAAGTCTACAGCTTTGACTGCTTTGTTATTTTCTGGAGCCTGACTGGTGTCTCCATACCCCACCCAAGCCTATCTGGCCATATGAGGAAATACCCAAATCCCCACGGCATTCAAGATTATAAAAACCTCCCTGGAGAAAAGAACTGGATGAGATAGTTCCTTTTGGACCAGCTTCATCTCCTCCCACTCAAAGGAGTCATTTGCAGTCTGCCTGTCTATGCAACCGTTCATCTGAAGTCTCTAAATCTGACCAGAATTCTGTAGCACAAAAGCATAATTCAGCAACTCAGTCAACAGCACCATTCAACAGCACAGTCAGCCCTTTCACCATCACCCTAACAAAGGTGCTAGCAAATGCGTAAGCATGTGGAACGGGCTGTCCTCACCTCTAGGTGCAGTTAGTCAGTCCAGGTCTAGACTGCAGAGTCCCAAGAAGCTTATATCACTGCTAGAGGAGTGCTGCAGGCAGGTTACCGGCATGTCAGATCAGCATCGCTTGTGAGCTTCTGCCACCTAACAAGTTTGGGAAGAACTGAGCTTACTGGCTCACTGGCAGAATTTGCCACTGTGTTGCAGAAAGCCTATCCTACAGCTCTAGATAAAAGCAAAACCAAGGAAACTTAGGTATGTTTCAAAACTGCCTCCTCATTGTAATTAATTTTGTTTTAGGAAAGATGTATTTCCCATTCCTTTTGCTTCAAATAACAAGCAAAACATATTACTAATTTCTCTTTTGTCTGAGAGGCATAGTCATGTGCTTCCAGCTTCTTCAATCACTCCCAGTTGCTAATAAAAGCTCTTGAGTGCTACTAACACTTTACAGGGAATAACACAGATTACACCAGTGTTACCTCTTCACTACATGTCCTCTGCATTCACGTGCTAAAATACAGAAAACTGCACTTCCAATCACACTGACATAAAGCACATTTTTATATGCGTGAGTGCAAAAGTCTGATTTCCATCCGTCCTAAATTTTATTTTAGTAGATTGTTTGCATTAGCCTCCAAAGACAGCCTCGGCACTTCCCTGCTCTCTTTTTTGGAGCTAGGCCGCACCATGAGTGACCACCACGGACCGCAGCGGTGCACATTCACTGACAAGCACCAGGCAAAAGACCCCGCTACGGCAGATGGAATAACCTCTAGCAGCTTGCTCAGAGCAAAGGGGCCGCTTTCCTCAGTTGCTGCAGGATAACACCATCGACTGCTTCCAAGTAAAACCAACATTGTGGTCAGATTCCTAATACTTACATTTCAATGAATCATTGCCGGGAAAAGGCTCGAGCTCATTTGCTGCTCATGATCATGAAGCATATGGCAACTTTATCATCACAAAACCCCAATCAAACCATCACCCTAATCATATCAGGTGAGCAGACATATACAGCCCTGTTATCCAGCCATAAATATAATCATTTAACAACACTCATTGTTTATGAGATTGCTATATCATCTCCATATTGCTGATTAATGCTTACCACATAGTTTCAAAGCATGCAGGCAAACACAGAAGGCCATTTAGCAGGCATTTAAGGAAGGAAAACTTTATGAGGAAATCACCTTTTAAAATAATTTCCAATTAATACAATCATAATGATGCTGGGCTCCATCTTCTCTGTATTTGGTATATTCCTCATATACAATTTGTAATGCCACAGGTGTTTCATAACACTCAGTATTCACTTGCATGTGCACATATATCAAAAATCCAGTAAAATGAAATTACTTAATCTGCAGTCATCCCCTCATAATGCAGTGTATTCCAAAAGCAAGAAACACTTGTACTTAATTTTAAAATAAACAATTACAGGAGAGAAATCTCTCTTTATAAAACAAACCCTACTATTTTTATTGGGAGATTTGTCAGCACATTAGTAATGCTGAGCCACCCTGTTCCCAACGATATTATTGTTAGTTATCTCATTTCTCTGAGTTAGGCAGTACTCATGGGCTAATCAGCAAACTTCAAACACAGGCACAGATGTAGGCATGCCTGTGCAAACATTTAAAAGGTTTTATAAAAGTTCAAAGCAGATGACATCAAAATCTTCTGGAGGATCCTGGGTCCGACCAGAGCCCCAAGTCACATCAACATAGCACTCCCCGCAGACAAATTAAATTTCTGCACCAGCCCCCCACCCCCCCCAAAAAACCCCTGAAGAAATTCTGTAATAATATCCACAAGATTGGAAATGCTTTTATAATTATTTGAGCATGTTGTGTTTACCTCTAGTTTAGTGGTGGCAAAAAAAAAGAAGTGACAAAAAAGTGCTGACAAACCACTTGACCCACCTTTTAAGAGCAGGTTAATTTTTGCCTCTCTGAAAAATCCCTTCACATAGCCACAACACAAACACTCGTAAAGTAATGCCGCTGAAAATTTTAAGGAAAATGTAAACTTCTTTTCACACTTTGAATCAAAAAGGCAGTATTAACTTAGCACTTCATAGGGTACAGCTGCAACCAGCAATGGTAAATGGCAGGGGCCAGCAGTGAAGTTAACTCATTCACTTACCAAGTATTTTAATTTGGTGGACTGGAATCAAAGGCCCAACCCCCCCTCAGTTAACTTGCTTTTATTCTCCCCAACTCCCCACACATGTGCCTGCAGTCCCACCGAGCTCAGCCAGCAGCCAGGACCCCTTTAGCCAAGACAACTTCCCACAGGGGCCTAGAGACTGCCCGGACTCCATGACACCTGTGGAAAGCCCCACAGGTGGGGAAGGGTCAGTGGGACACAGCTGACTACCCCACCCCACGGAGAGAGGCACCACGTCCCCCCAGCACCTCAAGCCCAAAACAGCGGCCAGGGCCATGCCTGCAGCCTCACTCAACCAGATCAGCTGCCTGAGCCAGCCCTTTCCCCCTCGCCCTCCTCCTCAGGGCACTGCTGTGCCAAGATGGCGGCGCTCCCACAGCGCCCAGCCCGCCTCGCCACCCGGCGGTTACGGCACGGCTCCGCCCCCACCGCGGGG